ACAGAAATACAAAAAACAGTCCTAAAATCCTATGGAATCAGAGAAAAGCCCACATAGCCAAAGCAAGACTAAGCCAAAATAACCAATTTGGAGTCATAAACATTACCTGACCTCAAACTATACTATAAGGCCACAGTCACCAAAGCAGCATGGTACTGGTATAAAAATGGGCATATAGGCCAATGGAACAGAACAGGGAACCCAAAAATAAAGCCAAATACTTACAGTCAACTGATCTTCGACCAAGCAAACAAAAACACAAAGTGGGGATAGGACACCCTATTCAATGAATGGTGCTGGGAGAACTGGCAAGCCACACATAGAAGAAGGAAACTGTATCCTCATTTCTCACCTTACACAAAAATCAACTCAAGATGGATCCAAGAGTTAAATCTATCACCTGAACCCATAAAAATTCTAGAAGATAACATTGAAAAAACCCTTCTAGACACTAGCTTGGGCAACAACTTCATGACCAAGAACCCCAAAGCAAATGCAACAAAAACAAAGATAAATTAAGATGGGACTTAATTATTAACTAAAAAGCTTCTGCACGGCAAAAGAAACAATCAGCAGAGAAAACGGACAACTCACAGAGTGAGAGAAAATCTCCACAATCCATGCATCCAATAAAGATTCTGTAGATCCAGAATCTACAAGGAACTCAAAGCAGCAAGAAAAAAACAAATAATCCCATAAAAAAAAAGTGGGCTAAGGACATGAATAGACAATTCTCAAAAGAAGAAATACAAATGACCAACAAACGCATGAAAAAATACTCAGTACCACTAAAAATAAGAGAAATGCAAATCAAAACCACAATGTGATGCCACCTTACTCCTGCAAGAATGGCTGTAATCAAAAAATGAAAAAATAATAGACGTTGGCATGGATGTGGTGAAAAGGGAACACTTACACTGCTGGTGGGAATGTAAACTAGTACAACCACTAAGGACATCAGTGTGGAGATTCCTTAAAGAACTAAAAGTAGAACTACCATTTGATCAAGTAATCCCACTACTGGCTATCTACCCAGAGAAAAAGAAGTCATTATACGAAACAGATACTTGCACACGCATGATTATAGCAGCACAATTTGCAACTACAAAACTATGGAAACAGCCCATCAATCAACAAGTGGATAAAGAAATTGTGGTATGTGTATATACACCATGGAATACTATTCAGTCATAAGAAGGAATGGAATAATGGCATTCATAGCAACCTGGATGGAATGAGAGACCATTATTCTAAGTGAAGTAACTCAGGAATGAAAACCATAACATTGCATGTTCTCACTCATAAGTGGGAGCTAAGCAATGAGGAGGACGCAACGGCATAAGAATATACAATGGACTTTGTGGACTGGGGGAAAGGGTGGGGGATGGAGAGGGATGAAAGACTATACTTTGGGCACAGTATACACTGCTCCAGTGATGAGTACACCAAAATCTCAGAAATCACCACTAAAGAACTTATCCATGTAACCAACCACCACCTATTCCCCAAAAACCGATTGAAATTAAAAAACAATACAAAAAAAAAAAGAAAATGTGGTATGTACATACAATGGAATTTCATTTTGCCTTAAAAAAGACAAGGAAATAATGTCACAGGTTACAATACAGATCATCATGTTAAACAAAAGCAGCCAATCTCAAAAAGACAAATACTATATGGTGCTACCTATATGACGTATCTAGCAAAATCAGAAACAAATAAAAGGGTTGTTGCCAGAGGACGGGCTGGGAGGAGAGTGGGGTGTTGGGAACTTGCAGGGGGGTGGGAGAGGGTGGGTGCTGTTTAATGGGTATACAGTTTTGGTTTTGCAGTGAGCACAGATTACGCCACTGCACTTCAGCCTGGACAACAGGGTGAGACTGTCTCAAAAAATAATAAATAAAAAGTCAAAATAATAATATACACCTGCTGGCCAATGGGTCCTACTAATGCAATATGAGATAATTACAAAAAAGTAGTTATGAAACATTTGATACAGGAAAGCAGCTATAAATCATGATTTAAGGTGCAAAAAAAAAATTTTTTTTTGAGATGGTGTCTCAGTCAGCCAGACTGGAGTGCAGTGGCTTACTGCAACCTATGCCTCCCAGGTTCAAGGGATTCTCTTGCCTCAGCCTCCCAAGCAGCTGAGATTAAAGGTGTGCGCCACCACGCCTGGCTAATTTTTGTATTTTTAGTAGAGATGGGGTTTCACCACGTTGGCCAGGCTGGTCTCGAACTTCTGATCTCTCAAGTGATCCACCTGCCTCGGCCTCCCCAAAGTGCTGGTATTACAGGCATGAGCCACTGCACCTGGCCATAAGGTGCGATTATATTTAAAATTACCTGTGTCTAGGTAAAAGAAGGGTGAAGGCAAAAAAGGATGTTATGAATCCCTCATATTATTTTAACAAGAACAATGATCAACAAGGGAAATAAAAATGTTTGAGGAGATGGATATCCCATTTATCCTAACTTGATCATTTTATATCTATACAAGCATCAAAGCATGCACTGTAAAATAAGTACAACTACTATATATCAACTTTTTTAAATTTTAAAAGAAAAAAAACACTGTTGGGGGTAGGTAGGGAGGTGGTAGAGGTAACTGTATATAATCCCACTAAGCATTCTGGCATTTTCAGAGAAAATAAATATGACATACTACACAGCACAGGTTCAACCCAGAATGTTATCGCATTTCTGAGGGTCATGGGAAAACCACACCATTTTTGAACCAATACCTATAAATTTACTAGCACATCTGGCCAAATATATAGAAATGGCTTCAGTGTCCTTAGCTAGACTGTCAGCAAGTTTGCTGTATCTTGGTCTACTTCATCTCTCACACACACTAACATACATACATATATACATACACACACATGCAAACACAAACTTCTGTGATGATATTAAAATGATTTCAGAGATTTTCAACAAAACTGACAAACATGTTTGGGATGATCTAATTTACAATGCAGTCTATGAGCAGTTATAAAACCAGTCTGTGAATAGCACATAAAAACTTTCACTTAAGGATAGGCACCTGTATCTCAGATACCCAACTGGTCTGATTGCCAAGGGAGACGTGCCACAAATACTAAGGATCCGACAACAAAGAAGAGTAACAGGTTTCAAATGTGAACTTCATTTGAACAAAAACTTCATGTGAACAAAAAGTCAAGAGCAGACACTCCAAATACCAAAGTTGATTTACCATGGATGTATTTCTTTCATGAGAAACTCTAGCGCTCCCTGGGAAACAGCAGATTTAGTGGTTAATGAGTCACCAGAGCAACCCAAAGACCCCAGCAAGTGCTTTATAAATTAACAAAAAAACATGTCATCCTTTGTGCTAGGTAAAGCTTGGCTTGGGGGGTGGGGAATATGTTATTTTCTTCAACATTTCCTATCAACCCCTGAGAGAGAAAAGAAAAAGGAGAGAGAAGGAGAGGAAAGGGAGGAGGGTGAGGAGGATGCAGAGAGAGGAAAAGAACAGGGAAAGGAAGAGGTCAACCTTTTTTTCCCAACAGGAATTCAGAAGAGTTTAGACAGAGAAAATCCTCCTCCTATCAACATACTGAAAACAATCCATCTCCAATAGGAATTATTTCTGGGAATATTTTCACAAATATCTTACCCACTTATTCTGGTTCTCAACTTTTAATAGTTTTTCTTTCAGAATGATACATCATTTCCCACCAAATTCTATAAACCTCAATCAGTTTCTCTGCCTCCCTAATTTAGTAAAAATAAAATTGTTGGTAATGAACTCCAGAAAATATTTATAAATGTAAGATGTTATTATTTAATTCTTAAAAAAAGTAAAAATTCATTTCTCTTCTATTTATTGATCCCCAAAATAAACAACAATATTATTTTGGTAAGAAATTATTTTTTAAGAGAGAATCACTCTGACTTCTAGTTAACAATGATAAGCACTTGACATACAGCTAGAATAAACCTTAGAAATTAAGTCCAATTCCATCATCTAAGATTTACAAGAGTACCTGCCAAAAGTCAAAGATTCATAGTATATTCAGGAAATAAAGCAAATGCCAGCTCTCACAGAGTCCAGTAGTCTTTCTGCTATATCAAATGATTGCCATTTATATTCTACAGTGAAAGACTTCTTAAAAATCCTCTCAAATAGATAAGAATGACTCTCCTTAAAATGATTAATTACAATAGTAGAATCCTAGCCATTTAAATGCACATAACTAAAAAATATTAAGATAAATGCAATACACAAAAACAATCTATTTTAGTGAAATGATGGACAAAAATAGAAGAGCAAAATGCCACTGTTGCATTTCTAACAAGAAAGTACTATTCACAAAATATAGTTCATTTGACAAAACACAAGACCATCACGATATAACAATATTTTTCATCCTGATGACTGTAGCTAAGATGTTTTTAAAAGTACAGAACACAGAAATCTTCAGCTGGACACGGTGGCTTACACCTGTAATCCCAGCACTTTGGGAAGCTCAGGCGGGCGGATCACCTGAGGTCAGGGGTTTGAGACCAGTCTGGCCAACATGGTGAAACCCTGTCTCCTACTAAAACTACAAAAAATTAGCTGGGCGTGGTGGCGCATGTCTGTAATCCCAGCTACTTGGGAGGCTGAGGCAGGATAATCTCTTTAACCCGGGAGGTGGAGGTTACAGTGAGCCGAGATCACACCATTGCACTCCAGTCTAGGTGACAAGAGTGAAACTCCATCTCAAAACAGGAAGAAAAAGAAAGAAAAGAAAAGAGAAATTTTCAAAAGTTGCAATTTTTCCTTTACCAAATATTCAAAAGTTACTTTTAAGTAACTTAAATTACATATATTTAAAAAGAATAAAAATTAAAAACAAAAAAACAAAAAAACACTTACTTAGCTTGGGAACACATGTATTTTGTCAAATTGTGAGAAACTTTCAAAATTCGCAAAAGATCCTAAAAACAAGAGAATAATAAACACTCTGACATTGGGAGCTGGAGAGTCTTACCATTGGCAGTGCATTGATGTGGGGATGTGCAACTGAATATCCGGTCACCGCCAATCACAAGTTGCTGTTGTTGATGCTGAGGAAAAGGAAAGTAAAGTATTCAATGTGCCCTAAAACACATTCAGTTTAAAAGATTTTCCATACCAAATGTTACATGTTTGAAATATTCCTTAAAGTCCCCACCAGTGAATTTCTTTCTCTCTCAAGTAACTGTTATCATAAACAACAGCAGCAACTTTTGAGTGCTTAATACTTGGCAAGTCTTTAGAATGTTCATAAGAGGTTGGCATAGTGAATAAAATGAGACTCAAAGAGATTAACCTGCACACAAGTGGTCTCACCACAATTCAACTCAACTTGCGTAAATATTACTGTATTAAGGTCCAATTAGTATGTTCATAATCTAAAACCATGGGCCACCAAGAATGACATAAACTTGCATTCTATATTCTGTTTAATAATAAATAAAAATATGTCATTGGTTTAGAAACAATTTCAATCAAAACTTACTAACTTTGATCTCTTTAGACTTTACGTATTTTATAGGGCTTATCCAGTTTTCTCAATTGCTAAGTCAGGGCATATTATATTCCATAAACCCTCTGTGTAAATAAAAAAGTTATACTTCATGGCCGGGCGCGGTGGCTCACGCCTGTAATCCCAGCACTTTGGAAGGCCGAGGCAGGCGGATCACCTGAGGTCAGGAATTCGAGACCAGCCTGGCCAACATGGTGAAACCCTGTCTCTACTAAAAATACAAAAATCAGCCGTGCGTGGTGGCTGGCGCCTGTAATCCCAGCTACTCGGGAGGCTGAGGCAAGAGAACTGCTTGAACCCAGAAGGCGGAGGTTGCAGTGAGCCAAGACCACGCCATTGCACTCCAGCCTGGGGGACAATAGCAAGACTTCGTCTCAAAAAAAACAAAAAGTTATACTTCACATACCATGTCAGAGCAGATGCTTAGTTGGAACACTGACCAGTACAGTTTCCGTCATGGAGTACAATTTCGTAAAGAGTAAAATCAAGCTGACACCACAGAAAGGAGTTTACTATAATATATGGGAGGTTTAGCTCCTACACCAATTAGGTAAAGTTAAGAAGATAACTAAGTAAATGATGATTATGCCACTTACACTATCCCACCAATCCCTGTGGCTTCAAAACAGGGCATAGGCGTGAGCCCCCAAGGTTTGTTGCCTAGAGGCACTTGTGAGCTACTTGATAGGTCTTTTCTAGCATGGACTGAGGAAATGTTCTTTAGACATCATGTCTAGATACCACTAGAATCTGTTTACCTCAAGGTCGTTTGTTATGAACATCGATTATTTCAAAATAAAGTTTTTGTCAATTTTTGAGCTAAAGTTACATAAGGCTGCTTGTTATCTAAAAATCAACAGACCACTTTTGTCACAAAAATTTTTGGCATACATGCATTCAATTTATTTATAATTAACATGTACTACTTATATTTTAAAACACATATAAGAGGTCAGGCACAGTGACTCATGCCTGTAATCCTAACACTTCAGGAGGCCGAGGCGGGCCGCTTGAACTCAGGAGTTCAAAACCAGCCTGGGCAGCATGGCAAAACCTCATCTCTCCCAAATATACAAAAAATCAGGCATGGTGGCGCACAGGTCGTGGTCCCAGCTACTCGGGAGGCTGGGGCACGAGAGTTGCTTGAGCCTGGGAGGCAGAGGCTGCAGTGAGCCGAGATGGCCATGCCCCTGCATTTCAGTCTGTGTGATAGAGACTCTGTCTCAAACAAAAAAAACTCCCAATATAAGTAAAAGGCAGATAAACAATGTACTTACAGTGCTATATTTTTGTTCATAACATTCTACATCCTTAATGTCTTAATGACAGTTTTACATCATTAGCTAGTATCTTAAGGTAAAACTTAATCGTAGAGCAAAGCTCATCAATACCAATAGTGAATATTGCACTTTTTTTTTTTTTTTTGAGACAGAGTCTCACTCTGTCACCCAGGCTGAAGTGCCGTGGCACAATATCAGCTCACTGCAAACTCCGCCTCCTGCGTTCAAGTGATTCTCCTGGTCTCAGCCACCCTGAGTAGCTGGGACTACAGGTACAAGTCACCACACCTGGCTAATTTTGGTATTTTTAGTAGAGACGGGTTTTCACCATGTTGGCCAGACTGGTCTCGAACTCCTGACCTCAAGCGATTCACACGTCTCGGCCTCCCAAAGTGCTGGGATTACAGGGGTGAGCCACTGCGCCCCGTGGAATAATCTACATTTCAAATACCTTTCTTGATAATCCCTAATTTTTTCAGACATCTATAAAATGATTAGATAATAGCAAGTGAAGAGTTCATTCTCATAGTTTAAGTATTGGCTCTGCCATTTTCTTTCTTTCTTTCTTTCTTTTTTTTGAAATGGAGTCTCGCTCTGTCCCCCAGGCTGGAGTGCAATGGCACAATTTCAGCTTACTGTAACCTTCGGCTCCCAGATTCAAGCGATTCTCCTGCCTCAGCCTCCTGAGTAACTGGGACTACAGGCACGCACCACCATGGCCGGCTAATTCTGTATTTTTTAGTAGAGACAGGGTTTCTCCATGTTGGTCAGGCTGGTCTCGACCTTGGGTGATCCGCCCACCTCAGCCTCCCAAAGTGCTGGGATTACAGGCGTGAGCCACCATGCCCAGCCATGATAATGGCTAATTTTTTCATACATCTATTAAATGATTAGATCATAGTAAGTGAAGAGTTCATTCTTGTAGTTTAAGTATTGGCTCTGCCATGTTCTTGTTTCTTACAATTTTGGTTTTAGATGCAATTTTTTTCTCTACCTTTGTCTTCATTCATTCATTTAGCTTTTCCTATTAATACTACAAGTCTTTAAGAAGAAAGACCACAATAGTGATTTAATAGTTGATGACATGGTTAAAAAGTGATTCTAGGATTTGAAGGATGAATAAATACATGAAAAATGGTATACCAATTGCACATGCAATTTAATCTGGAAAATTTCTAGAAACATATGCAGGGCCATATTTTTTCTCTCTTAAGATGTTTTCCTAGTCAACTCATTGACCTATGTCCTAGCCATCATGCAATGCATTTATAAAGCACATCTCATAATTAAAATAAATATCTAAATTTTAAAAGATATAGTGATATACTTTACAAAGGAATTACAAAACTTAAGGTGCATTTAACATAATCTGACAATGTGTATTCAAACTATTTGTATTAAAGGAATTCAAGTCCAAAACAGGCGTATCCTGTCTTATCTACGTTTCTACTTTTACTCAACATTCTCAAATCTCATCACAGCAGATCACTGTGACTCTCTTATCTGCACTCTTTGGCTGCCATGACATTCCTCATTCCTCACCAGAAATGTCCTTCTGACTATGGTTCTGCTCACAATATCCCTCCTTCAAAGATCAGGCCAAATCAGCTTCCTCCATTAATTATCCACCCCACCATCCAGAGAGAGAAAAATGAGCCCCAGCCTAACATATCTCCCTTTCCACAACTGCATAGTGCCTTATTCTTTCATCATGCCTCTCTGATCAAATTTCTGGAGACCCAAGACTGATGTAATCATCTTGCTGTCTCCCAACAGAACTAAGAATAGTGCCTTGAACATACATGGTTCTTAAGATATACATGTTGATAAAATGTTAAAATATCTAGATATTGAGGAATGAATTTATACATATTTGAAAATAAAATGCAGTAGAGACTGAATTACTACACAAATAAATCACACTGGGAAGGAAAAACTCAGCAGTGGATTGTTATTTTGAAAATGCTTGGCCGGGCGCGGTGGCTCACGCCTGTAATCCCAGCACTTTGGGAGGCCGAGGCGGGCGGATCACAAGGTCAGGAGATCGAGACCACGGTGAAACCCCATCTCTACTAAAAATACAAAAAATTAGCCGGGCGTGGTGGCGGGCGCCTGTAGTCCCAGCTACTCAGGAGGCTGAGGCAGGAGAATGGCGTAAACCCAGGAGGCGGAGCTTGCAGTGAGCCGAGATCGCGCCACTGCACTCCAGCCTGGGCGACAGAGCGAGACTCCGTCTCAAAAAACAAAACAAAAACAAAAACAAAAAAAAAAGAAAATGCTTGAGAGAACCTGGTTATACCAATAATTTTAATACCACTTCCAGAAGGTGACCAATAAAGGTTGATCTTCTATCATTAACAAAAAACTCAAGAAGTACATGATCAATCACATTATTGGTGTAAAAACTATCACCTCCTTTGTGTACTACAAACTGTATCTATTTACTCTACTTCTTGTAATAAAATAAATGGCTGCAGGGTTTGTGTTTTGTCTCCAAACAAAAAGCTTTGCTTCCAAAAATGTATTTCAAAGCATTTTATCTAAAGTAAATGATTAATTTTAAATAAGGCTTTTAGCATAGAAAGACACTGTTGACTTAGCAGACATCTTCTAAGATCTGCCACCTACGCATAATTAGGAAGATTTTTTTAAGATGCAAAAATTCTAGAACAGCAAATTATATATTTTGACTGCTCTTCAAAAATACTACACTGCAGTGTCTAGAAGTAAATTTATTTAATTTATAGATAACTTTGAAAAGCTAATGGACATTATGGGCCCTTTTCCTAGACAAAGGTACAAACACAATAAATACTTACTTAAGGTAGCAACATTCTAATCTAGAACCTACTGGTCAGTAACAAGTTCAAGGAAGTATATCTGGTATCCTTTATTAAAAAAAGTTTTAAAAAAATTTTTTAACGTACAGAATTTGGGAAAGTCATCCCATGAATTAAGAGAAAAATATAATCCCAGCACTTTGGAAGGCCAAGGCAGGCAGATCACTTGAGGTCAGAAGGTTTGGGTGGATCACTTGAGGTCAGAAGGTTAAGACCAGCCTGGTGAACATGGAGAAACCTCATCTTTAGGGAAAATACAAAAATTAGCCAAGTGTGGTGGCAGATGCCTGTAATTCCAGCTACTCAGGAGGCTGACGCAGGAGAATCACTTGAACCCAGGAGGCAGAGGTTGCAGTGAGCTGAGATCACACCACTGCATTCCAGCCTGGGTGATACAGCGAGACTCTGTCTCCCAAAAA